CCTCCCCCCGCACCCCCCCGCCGGCCGCGGCGGTGGCGCCGCCGTTACCTCCTCCTCCTCTCCGGCCATGAAAAACCTTTCAATATCATCGGACTCGCTTGGCCGCGCCACCTTGTCAATTAGTTGCAGTGCAGGAAGGTCAATTTTGTAAATAATTGTAAAAATTTTTGAACCCTCTGTATGCAGCTGAGGCTGTTTATATAGAGAAGGATGAATGAATTAAAGCGCCGTCTTTTTGGCGGGGGGGCAAAAGAGGGTAAATATCGAAAATTTGAATTTGGAATGAAAGGCGAGAAGGTCTGGAGTGTAATTTTGGAAAAAATTTTACTCAGTCAGCGGGTTCCCACGGGTTTGACCGCCGTAACGGGTAGGGAACGGGCGATTGTTCATTATATCGTTATTTCTGCCGACGGCAAAATAAGTATATATAATTTTCTTGCTTAAAATTTTTTTTTATGATTAATTTTTAATTATTGTTCACGCATGACTAGATATCTTAATTTCAAAAAATAAAAAATGTCAAATGCATTAACACTTCCAATATTGATGCGCAATAGAAAAAGTTTATCATTCAACATAAATCTCGAGGCATGATACGAATCCCAATGCAATTTTTTTAAACAAAAAAAAACGTTTAAATCAATTAAAAAACATACAAAACTCTGATTTCTTACGAACATAATGGCACCAAAATTGGTCCATGATTCCCAACTCTCTCAATTCCGGCCTCTGCGGCCTATGTATTTTATTACAGCTTCCTGTTAAAACTTATGTGACTAACTACGACCAAAATGAATTATAGCTCATGTAACTTCTAACTCCGACTTTTGTTTCTTATTAATGTTATTACAACACCCTGGTACAACCTATATGACCTACTATGCGACCCTCAACTCATGCAACTCTAATCTTCGATCTTTTCAGCCTACGAATGTTAACACAGTTCATGTAGTTTCCAACTCTAGACTCTGTGGCCTACAACCTTTATTACACCTCTTTGTTACAACAAATGTGAGCAACTAAGACCTGCACGAAAAACGGACATTATTAAGGCTCCCCTTTACAGCATATGTGACGACCTATAGCCTAAGCGGTTCATACCTCACGCAAATTCCAACTTTGGCCTTTGTAGCCTATAAACATTATTATAACTCTCTATTATAATCTATGTGACTAACTACAACCTACGCAATCCACACAGCTCATGCATCTCCAAACTTTAGCCTCTGTGGTCAACGAATGCTATCACAGTTCATTCAGTTCTCAATTGTAGCTTCTATGGCCACTGAAATTATTACAGCTCTCTGCCACGGCTTATGAGATTTACTACACCCAAACAAACATTACAACCGCCATCTACAATATTCACGACATACTATTGCCTCCATATAACAATCAATCCACTACAAAATTCTCGCCCTATCACGACTGGTATTGTTGAAATACTATTACACATCAACTTTGTGATTTCATTTTTTCTATCTCACAAGAAGAGCGATTTTATATACTAACTATTACATGGTGAGTTGTTTCAAGTTGGCTAGACCCCGTGATGTTATCCTATTTTGCTGATTCTCAATTTTTGTGTTTCCTCCTACTACTTTTCTATTATCTATGTATGTTGAACCTTCGTGCAACGCTAAGACAATAAATATCACGCCATTATCTTGAAGCTTCCAACGCGCAACAATTACCATCACTATTCTTATGAAAGAAAAACTAAAAGGAATAGTCAAAATTCAAATTCTTCATTGAGTTTGAATTTTTTTTGTATAAAAATATGCGACTAAACTTAACATTAAAGTCAATAAATTTTTTTTTAATTACGAAAATAACACTAAAAATTTATTCTAGAATATTGAAATTATGTCAATAACCTAAAAAAAAATTCAACTTTTTGACGCCTACTTGCTCATAAAAAGTTCTAAACACAAAAAGTTTTGCATTGAAATAACGCGAAACTTTTAGGTTGACTAAATACATTTTCCACGCAAGTTGGTCGTTGAATTAGCAGAGCATGTCAAACTTACAACCGACACCGGTCAACGATATTTTGATTTTATTTTTTTCAAATAAAGACTGCTCGTTTAATAATTGTCAATATTTTCCTCTTCAATTTTGTTGCACTCGCGACGTTCAATTTGTGGGAGCTTGACCGCATAAATCACACGGAAGAGAAATTCGCAGTACGCCTCCACGTGGCGACTTTTGATGCGTTCATTTATTATTCTGCGTATTTTTTAACATGTTTTTTAATGAAAATTTAATTAATGCGTCTGTGTTTATTAGGATAAATTATTCAGACAATACAGGTAGAGATGCATGTCATGTCTGATCTCTATCGTCGATCACCACAATCAAAATTTAAAAAAAAATGAAAGTGGGGTTCACTGAAATATATATTTGCTATGATGAGCGGTGGAGATCGGTGCATCTCTGTATGTGGTGTTCGTATGAAATAATTTTTCGTTTGTTAGAGAGCTTTGATAAGTTTTAATTTTCGAACATGATTTTTTATATATTAGCTGTAAAAATTATAATTTTTAGTAAAAGATCTAAAGTATTACTATTGTTAACTTTTATAATTTTATGATATTGTATTATAAATAAAATTATCAAACTAGGTGTTGGATGTAAATATGTGAAAAAAGTGGTATGAATTTAAGTTTTTTTTAATTTAATTATCAGAAATTAACTTACATACGACACAATTATTATAATATTTAAATATATAACATCTAAAGTTTAAGATTTACATGTGTAGCTTTAAAATCTTTCATATCGTCAAACTCGCGGTCTCGATATGACATATCTAATGATATCAAAGTTGAGTCAAACCATGCCTTGAATCAAGCTATTGAAGCATATTTGGAAGCTTTAGATTGCCAATTTCATGATCAAGTGAAGTGAAAATTTGATCTATTTTTATAGTCAAATCGAGCGTGTCGATGAGATGAATCCAAGGAACTCAAGTTCGCTCAATTATGATTTCATTAATTAGGTGTTTAAATCATTAAAAAAATTCTTATGATCAAGGAGGATCAATATGGGTTATTTGATCAGGTAATTGGGGAAGTTATTCTCCAAATGACCAAAATGTCATACCCTATAAGCTATGAAACCACCCCCTCTCCTTACTTGAAGAGGAAAGAGAATAAGAGGAATTTCAGAGCCCATTCTTGATTGAAGACCCGACGATAACTTCATGCCTCCATAAATGTCGACAACCACTGTCGGCCGCCATTACTTACGTCCCCAACCTCCTGCCACTGGAGATCCTTGTTTTCAAACATCATATCCCAAATTTAGTTTTAATGTATAACACTCATATTGAAGAATTGACGCCAACTTCTGGCCTCAATAGCAGCTGACAACCATCGACTGTCACCACCTATCACCGTCAACCGCTGCTTACGATTGTTACAACTAAAATATTGTGATTGTTTCTAGCACATGCATTTATCTTTACCATCTTTAAAGCCAAGAGCAGTGTCCCGTGTAAAATTATAATGTCGTTCTCTATAAGAGAATAAGTCCAATCACCAAATATGGCCTATATTGTCAACATACGATATTGCAATCACCAATTATGGTCTATATGGCCAATGATATTACAATTACCAACTTTGACTTTTGCAGTCAACTATTACTGTTACAACTTAAACTACGATATCTATTGTCAACTACTATTATTACAACAACCAACTATAGTCTTTGTGGAGAACTACTTATGTTATAACTTTCAACTATAGTCTTTGTAGTGAACTGTCGCTATTGTAACAACAGACTTCTATTGTTACCACTTCCAACTATTATCTATGTGAGCAACTGCTGCTATTACAACTACTGACTACAACCTTCCTAGCCATTTATTGCATTCTTAGAACCAACTATAATCTTTGTGCTCAACAACTATTGTCGCAATTCATAATTACAACCAATGTGATCAATTTTCATTATTACAACCACCAACTACAATCTTTATGACCAACTAATACATTTGTGACAATTAAGTATTACTTTTACAGCTAACTATTACTATCACGTTTTCCAATTGTTATCTTTTTTTTATTATTGTAGCCATTGACTACAGTCTTTATGACCAACTACTGTCATTATAACAAACAACTACAACATTTGAGTCAAAATGTTGTTATTAAAGTCAAAAATCACATCATTTGTAGCTCAGTTATGATTATTATAGTTAAACTACTATTATATATATATGATTATCAATTTTGTACTTTCATATTCTCCAACTCAGATGAAGAGTGGAGCTATGCACTTATAATTACATATAGGGTTGTAAACGAGCCGAGCTTGAGCGAGCTCAGGCTTGGCTCGTGTTCGGCTTGTTCGAAATAGCTCGTGTTCGAAATCGGCTCGTGAATAGTGTGTTCGTGTTCGGCTCGATTAAAATATTTGTGTTCGTGTTCGGCTCGTGTTTGACTCGAAATTGACTCGTTAAACTTAAATTGAGAAAAATAAATGTAAAGTGTGAGATTCGAACCTGGATCAAATATATACAAAAGAATGCACTAACCACATTGTCACATGAGGTGTTATGATTTAAATTTAGACATAAATATATATAATATATTATTATATAAATAATATATATAATATATTGTTATATAAATAGTTATATAATTTTTTTTTTATTTCGAGCGAAAACGAGCTGAACACCAGCGAACAAGGAGTTGTTCGTGTTCGGCTCGTTTATAATTCAAGCTTTAAAAATTTATTTGTGTTCGGCCCGTTTTCTTGGACGAACGAGCCGAATACGAGCTGTTTGGGAACAACGAGCTTTTTTGACAACCCTAATTACATAGTAGATTATTTTGACTAGTTTGTCTCCAGATTTTCCCTTCTAGAGTTATTCCAGGTAAACATCATGGTGTCTCCTCATTCCACTTCTTTTTATTTATGTGTTAGATCTCTATGAAATAGTAAGATATTAAATCATCATTCTGCTTTTTTTTTTATCAATTTTTAAAAATTTAAATAAACATTTTTTATATCATTAATATAAATATGAAAGTTAAATAGTTAGATATATATATATATAAGAAACAAATTGTATGGTATGAGAATGTCAATTTGCATGAGATCATGTATTTCAGCCATACCGTTTCATAGGACTTCGAAGGAATCTGAACCAACGGTGATCTCTTGAATTATTGAATTTTTTTAATAAAAATAATTTATTCCAACAATATTAACAAATTAGTACGTAGCTAATCCAACACATATCCATGATCCTTATATATATATATATGAAAAGAATTTGACTTATTTAGTTACTATGCAAAAAATTATTGGCACAAATCACGTTTTTTTTTTTTAATTTTTTATTATTTTATTTATTTTCCTTATTTTTAGAGTTGATGACGTGTCTATTTTGAAATGATTAATTAGAACAATAATGATGCTTAATGATGTCATTTAACCACGTAATTAAGTTCATGATATGACTTTACGTAACAAATGGAAGAAATAGAAGGATTATAGATTTGACCACATGAAACGCGGCTGACATTCATGGTGGTATTTTCAGCGGGACCTACAAGAAAATAAGTATTTCCTAACAACCCTTGGACGGAATAATTAGCTCAAATTCCTCCTCTCTCATAATTAAATCATCATAGAAATTAAGTCAAAGTTTGCATAAGAGTCATTTTTATTAGATTTCACCCCCTTGAAAAAAAAAATCTTATGAATTGTGCTCAAATATATAAATATACAGGATCTACACCGTTCAAGAGTATATTTCTACAGTTCAGACGAGCAAGAAGAAGAGACATATAAAAACCAGAAACTAGCCAATTACAAATCAACCACCCTCTTTCATCCATTTTTCATTTTTACCAAATTCTCAATGGTTCGTTCGTGACACGCTTTAATACATCGGTTTGGTAGTTCAAGGAAATCATTTGGATGGTTAATTTGTAAATATCAATGTTTTGGGTGGTCTGCATGTAATTATCCCAATAAAAAAAAAGAAAAAAAAAATGTCAGCTATACCAATCGAGAAAGATGACAGAGAAGGTTAGAACGAAGAAGAAGAGTAACAGGAAAGTTCTGCTGCTGCTGTTACGCTTTATGGCCTGGGTTAGCTCCTTGTTCCCTGATTCCACATTCTTTGTTGCCTCCACCGCCTGAAACAAATGGAACGAAGAAATAAGATGTACATAGAAAAAAAATAGTAGCAACAAAAATAATGACAACAAGCCTTTATTCCGCTGAGTGGGGTCGGCTACATGGATCATTTTTCTCCATAATGTCCTTTTGAGTGTCATATTTTCATGTAACTCTGAAATATTAATATCATTTTTTTATACAATATGCACTAGTCTTTCTAGGGCTACCGCTGTCTTTCTTAATATAAGTTGACTCTAAAACATCTAATCTCCTAACCGGATCATCGGGTGGTCGACATTTAATGTGACCAAACCATCTAAGACGACTCTCTCTAATAGAAGCAAATAAGAAAATTGTTGATACTGAGCGGTAACTTCTGAATAAAAACATAGCACCCAAAACATTGTTATCTACGAAATCTAGCACCCAAGTTATATTTTTGAACCAACAAATCCATGTATTTACACATGCTACGATCAGACCATTGAGAATTTGATAAAAATGAAGTTTTATAATGAATTTTGATATTTGAGTGACAATTTGAAAATGGATGAAAGAGAATGCTAGATTTGTGAATAGCAATGTCTTGGGTGTGCTATGTATGTAAATATCCCTATTGGAATATTTTGAAGTTATTTGATTTAGTGGAAATAAATGAAGGACTTCACATTTTTATTTTTGGTGGCGGCTTGGGTGGCCGGTTGCAGCAAATAACCAGTTAAGCAAAGAGATGTATTTAGAATTCGCTCAAATCCCACAAATTCCAAATACATTGAAAAAAAAAATTAGAGAATGAATTGTAATTTTACAATATGTTCCAAATTTATTCGATCTAACACCTAGATTTATGAAATTCCTGCAACTTGAATGCAATGCACTCCTTATACAGCAAACCAAATAACACCTTAAAATGAATTTTTAATCCCCTATAACATACTACTTTCAACAAGAAGTTGAGAAAAAACAAAGAGGGAAAAAACTGTAGGACAATATATGAGTTAATAAATATCATAAATAGCTTAATTTAGTCAGTATGTTATAGTAGGTATTAAGTTTGGTTAATCAAAAGATAATGTGTTCTTAAGAGTCTTGTTATTTTATAAATACTTCTTATTAAAGGCAGACCTAAGCAATAGAGTGAAAGAGAGAAAAGTAGAAGCGTGTGAATCTTTATTCGAAAAGCTAACCCCCTATTTATGGGCATAAGATTATGTACAGCGTATGCAAATGTCCCAATGTAATAAATGTCATGAGTAGTTTTATGGCGTATAATGACATCAATGAATGAAATGAACACATCCCACTGCTTAGCTCTCTTCTTCCTCTTCTCGATCCACAATTTTTGGCATTGCTAGCGAGATTTGAATCGCCATTTACAGTTTTGACCCCCCGGAGTCGCAATAGATCCTAATCACCTAAAATTTATCTAATTGTTTATTTATTTGGTTCAAATTAACATGAACATAAGCACGCTCGCTATGATGAGCTCAATGTCTTGAGCTAAAAAAATTGTTTGACTATCCCTTCTTCTTATGATAAGAGTAATTAAAAAGTTTTGACACAATTCACTTGCCAATGGAATTATCTTTTGATTTTCATGTTTTTGATCTGCAGTTGATGGAAAGCGAAAGCCATCAAAACAAAAATTTCTATGTATTTACATATTTAACAACTAAACATTGCTTTTTACATTTATACCTCCCAAATCATTCATATCACATCAAAGAAACCACTATTTCACTTTTAAAAAGTGAAATACTCATTTTAATGCATAAAGTGGTACATATGTAAAAAAATGAAGTTCAGGGTTAGATGCGTAGATATATAAGAATCGAGTCTTATGTACGTAAATCTTCCAATTATTTTACAAGATAAAATAATTCAAAAAACCAGCATTAATTTTTGATTCACATAAGCAGCTGACCTGCTCATACAACAGCTCAATTTGCTGAGCCTGTTGCAAGACATGCGTCGACATGAGATGATTCAGCGCCGACATCTCGATCATCTTTGTTTCAGTTTCTTGTACCGCATCCAACAGACTTGTCAACTCTACCTGATAAGTTGTTCAGAAGAAATATAACTTGCAAATGAATAAAGTGTACAGCAAGAAGTGATTCCGTAAAAAAAAAGGGGGCATTTGCATCCATGGTATTTACATATCACACCTAAATTGTCATTCTTACACTCATAAGTTTAAAGCACCAAGCTGCTATGTATCTAAGGATGAAAGTTAAGTGAAAGATATGTAAATACATAAGAATTGTGTCCAAGGTATGTAAATTTCCCAAAACAAAAAAACAAAACAAAAAGAAAGGTTTTAATCATAATAAAAGTCAACCTGAAGTGCCCGTGTTTCATCATCAAGAAGTTGATTCTGCACTGTAATAGGCTCAGTAGAAAATTCATGGCTTACAAGCTCTGGAAAATCAGATGTAAGCACTTCTGGAGATTTGTTGGTCGTAATTGTACGCTTCTTTTGTCTGGGCATTGCACGATTAATGGCTTCTCGAATACGCACAGCCCTAAGTTGGTCGAACTTAGCCGTAACCGAATGAAGTCTTTCACTTAAAATCAAAACCTGCAATTAACAAAGTAAGCGGAACTGAGAAATTTCAGTAACATAGTATTTTTTGTGGGGCATTTACACAAATACCACATAATTCTTATGTATTTACATACATAGCACTCTAATCTTTAATATCACATATAAAAATCACGACAGTACACCTTTTCATTCATAGGATTATGACACCAAAGGGTTATTAATGCAATTAACTTTAGGTCTTAGATATGTAAATAAAAAGGAATTGTGTGGTTATGTAAATCTCCACTTTTCTTTAAAGCAAATTGAAACTGCGGTCTTCAAAAATCCTACCATAGGTGCTAGGTCTAATAATCTAGATAAAACAATTATGGAAAAAAGAGAGGAATTGCATACCACACCATGCATATGAGCTACCTCATCCGCATGAGAACCATCACGAAGCATGGGAAGCCATCTTTTTGTATTTTCATGCTTCTCCTCATCAGAAATCTTATTTTTTAGAATATCAATTTGCTCCTTGCTTGCTTTAACAAAAACACCGACCTGAATGTCAATCATGGATTATTCTCTTTTAAGGAAAATAAAATCAAGGGTCATTTACATACATATCATCCAATTTCTGTGTATTTACATATCCAATATCTAAACTTTATTTTTTAAATGTACACCACCCAAATCTTTCATATCACATAAAAACTGCCACTATTTTAACTTTTAAAAAGTAAAATACACCTTTTTTATGCATAGTGAGAGGTGACTCATATGTAAATGACTCATATGTAAAAATTGAAGTTTAGGTGATAGAGATGTACATACAATGGAATTGAGTGGTATGTATGTAAATCTTTTTAAAATGAAAAGCAACTTGTTCATAAGAAAAATTCACCAAAGACTCAGAGTAAATGACTCACTTCATGTTCAATATTGTCCCTTTCTTGTTCGGTGGTGCGATGTAAATTCAAATAATCCTTTTGGTGCTTTAAAATAAAATGCTCCAATTCGTTTATGCCTTCAAGCTATAGAAGGAACAAAAGATAACTGCCAATATTACAATTATTTTATGCAAAATTGCACTTCACGTTGAAATTAGATAGACTAAAAGCATTCTATACCGTCTTTAGCGCAGCTTTGGTAAATGGCAACCTATGCGTAGGTTTGTGCATGATGAAAGATGCCATTACCGGAACCAACATGGACTGAAAAGCAAATTTGTCAGAACATGCAATTTTTCACAAGATACTGAAACCATAACATTAAATCTAACTTAAAAATGAAAAATAGTCGGAAAGACCAAGACATCTATCGCCATCTATATATTTAAGATAATAGATAATAAGCTACGAAGGTTAATACAACTACCACACAGCTTCTCATGTGAAAAATTAAACTTGCTTATCCCCACCCCCCCCCCAAAAAAAAAAAAAAAAAAAAAAAAAAAAAAAAAAAAATCAAATAATGCCATAATATATTGCTTGTAAAAGTTTGAATATGTTTCAAAGTATCTCTCACCTCAGTGTATCCGAATGAAACAGCCGAAGTACGGACAGCATCCTTGAAATCCTCAGTTCGATCCCTAGTTTTTGCCATATTTTCACAATCTGCCGATAGAAACCCTTAGGATGTATATGGTTTACCTCTTCCTCATCCTAATCATAAAACAAATATATATGATGAGATGAAATATACATGATCAAAGAGAAAAGTGTCAAAATACTCCACTAACTCTTTGCAAAGGGCTATGGCCTATAAAAAAGTCAATTTGATTCCCATACTTTTTAATATGAATTGAAATAGCCCACATGGAAGAACATTTCAACCCCAGCTTCAAGAGTATGTGGACTAATTTGGAGACTGACACTAAAATGGCCACATGTAAACAATCAGGGAAAAATTTTGGCACTTTAATCGATATGATCAAACATCCCCCAAATAACAAATCAACAATGCCCGAGATCATGAGTTTCCGAAAAAAACTCTCCTTATACGAAATAAAACAGAAAGGATGAAAAATAAAAAAGGAAGCATTTGTCCTTAGAAACAAGCTTAACTAATCAAGCTTCTATTGAAGTCAAACTGCATCTCTCCATGAAAAAGAAAAATGAATATAAAGAAAAGAAACACATCTGAACTTTTAAGTTTGCTCGAGCAAACAAAATTGAATGAATCTTTGTTGCCTGACCACCCAAATGGACAATGAAATATGCAATTAGCTGCAACAACAACAATAACAAAGCTTTATCCCACCAAGTGGGGTTGGTTATATGAATCATTTTTTCCATTGTGTCCAACTGAGTGTCATATTTTCATTTAATTCTAATAATTTAATATCATTTTTTATAAGAAGTGCTGAAGTCTTTTTAGTTCCACCTCTATTTTTCTAAACATAAGTTCAATCTAAAACATCTACTCTCCTAATTGGATCTTCAGGTGATCAACGTTTAATGGGACCAAACCATCCAAGACGACTCTCTAATCTTGTCCGCCATTGGAGCTACACCAACCCTTGCACGGATACATTCGTTTCACATTTTGTCTCTAAGCGTCAAAGCCACTCATCCACCTAAGCATTCTCATCTAAGCAACACTTAACTTAGTTTTATGCTTCTTCTTTCTATACCAACATTCTATGCCATAAAGCATTCCGGATCTCAACACCATCTTAAAACATTTTCCTTGAAGTTTTAGTGGTACTTTTCTATCACACAATAGGCCGATGTATTCATCCACTTCAACCATCCAACTTGAATTCTACTAATAACAACCCCATCTATATCACCAATACTCTGAACAATAAACCCGAGACAACTAAAAGTTTACTCTTTTTAATGACTTGGTCAATCGTTGTTATAACTTTGTCATAAGATCTACAACTACTAAAATTATATTCCATGTATTCATTTTTAGATCTACTCAAACGAAGACCTTTAGACCCTAATGTAGACCTCCATAATTCAAGATTTTTCAGAACTCTTTCTCTATTATCCACAAGGATATCATCAGCGAAAATCATACATCAAGGTTCATCCTCCTGTAAATGTCCAGTAAAAGCATCCATAACTAAAGCAAAAAAGATATGGGCTTAAGGTAGATCGTTGATGCAATCCAGCTGAAATAGGAAAATATTTGGTCAACTCTCCTCTTCGAACACAAGTAACACCTCTAGCATACATATCTTTAGTGGAATAAAATAATTGCTTGAAAAATTTTAAGCTCTTGTAGTTGGATGGAATAAAATAATTGCTTGCAAAAGTTTGGGTGTTTATAAATAGGGGTGTGACTAAGCTAAGTCGACTCATGAGCCAGTTTAGGTTCAGCTCGATAAGTGGCTCGAGAGCTGAGTTTGGTGAGCTAACAAGTCAATCTCGAGCTAGTCTTAATTTAACTCGTTATACTCAATTAAAAAAATATTAGTATAAAATGTACTCAAATATATTCAAAAAACTATCTTTAAATTATCAAAAATATTTTATAATGGTATTTTAAATTTATATCGAGCGATATCTTATTTTTTACCTATTAATTATTTAATATATTTGTCATTTTATTATAATAATTGTACGTCCAACAACAAAAATCCATGTAAATTTTACGACAAGAATAAAACACATACCCAGGATCTTCTCCGCCATAGACTAACTAGCACCACCAAAATTCAACAATAAAAGATCATTGGCAGCTCATTTCTCTCTGACCGGCTGTTTACTCCCACCAATTACTGGTACACAAGTTGGTTGAGAGGCCTTTGCAATCTCTGGCTGACCCAAAATCTAAGCGGGTTCTTATTAGACGGACCAGCCGCCAAACCACTCAGCTCCTTTCCAGTGTTGCATTGACCTTTCTCTGGTCCCTCCAGGATAGAATTTGAAGACTACTATTCCACTCGCTTGGCCAATTTCAGTTTCTTGGCAATTTTCTTATCTAATTTCTCGGGCTCGCCTTCCAGCCGGCGCCTCTTCATTCCGAAGGCGGCCAACATTTTCGCCTTGTCTGCGGGCTTGGGAGTCAAATCAGATCCTTTCTCCATAAGAATGATACAGAAGTCGAGTGGAATCAAAGAGAAATAGACTCAAGCAACTAAAAACCATCCACTGCGCCCTATATATAAGGGTCATGGGCACACAAATTCAAAGAGTTTAATCATTACATTAAATTATAACTATTAAGATTTAATTTATTGCATTAAAAAAATTTTTTGTTCTTATTACAGTTGTCGCTATCAAGGAGTACAAAAATTGAGAAACTTAATATGTATACCTAAAATTGATCTACATGAATCCCAATGGAATCCAATGGTCGGACGAAGTGACATGGCTAGAAGATCCAAAGTCCTAGGAATCTGGAGACAGAACCAAAAAGAAAAGTTTTGAGCATTATTCTGAAACTTAGTTTCAATCATAGAATTATAGTTGCAAGAAAATTAGGAAAAAATAATTAGAAGAAAATACTGAGAACCAAATTCAGGTCATTTAATGCTATCAAGTTTAATATAGCACCAATCCATACTTCCACAGCAACTAAACCACGCATAAAAACCAGGAAATAGTGAATCTATAAAAATTACAATGCGCATCAGCAATCACTTGTTGGGTTATGCGCTTTTGATAAGGTTTTTTTTCAACAAATTGAGATGTCGTGCTTTAAAAAAAATTTGACTCCCATCAATATTTTAATCGAGTTCTATTTTATCAATAATTCACCTCTGCATTCCTTGAGAATTAAAATATATAAATACTCTATGCTAGAGAAAATCAGTGCACCATTATTACTTGATTAGCCAGAGAAAGAAATCATGGGGATATAACTTACTATCAGGAACCCTACGCAGTTGTTTGGTAGCAGGATTTGACCTGGTTTAAACTAGGGAGCTGCCTGGTAACGGACGGATTTAGAACAGGACTTAACCTAAATCCTGCCAGACGGTCATTTTAGACAAAATCAAGCTGCGGTTTTCATATATCTGAATTATACTGATTTTGGTCGTAACTTCCGGATTTACTAAGGATGCGTTTGGTATTGTGTTTTGAAGGCGTTTTGGAAAAAAGTTGTTCGGTATTTTGTATTAAACGCGGATCGCGAGTTGCACCCAGCGATTCGCGTTTCCTTCGAGCGAAAGACTTCTCTGCCCTAAGCGCATCACCCCACCCTGCTTCTTTCTCTCGATGTTGTAGCTATGGAGGGTCTCCCGCCTGGATATCCTAGTTTCCGATCCCCAGTGGACCACAACATCTGGTGCTTCCTCTCCACGCTGCTCCCATTGCGACGCCAAGCTCCTCCACAAAATCGCCCAACTCCTCCTCCCCGACACTGTAGAGAATATTAGATCCGGACTCCACAAAATCAACCCCCCTATCGCGTTCGCCTTCCTTCCGGACGGAGGGGATTACGTCCAACGATACCATTAATAAGGGCTTAAGGTCAGAAGTCTGCGAAGAAGAACTTGCTTATCCCCTCAAATCTTCTAATTTGTGGATTGAAATCTGAGGGGAGGGAAAGCGAGGCGACGGAGAGAGTTCATGGAATTTCTCTAATGTTATTTACTTTCCTTTCGTCAGTGTGCTTGTTGTATTCCCTTCGACTTTTGAATTGGGAGCAATGATTGACTTAATTTGAATTTTCCTTTTTGATTTAATGGAGTCTTAGGTCAAGAATCGTTTAGTTAGGATGGCTTAAGTACTCACGGATTGTCTTTTGTTGGCCCCCGATCTCAATTTTTATTCATTAGTTGATCTTTTGTCTGGATGCTGTTGAAGGACTAGAACTCTTCATGTACTGTAGGTTGGGAAGCATTTGATTGTTGCTTTGTTCCGGGAACTAAAAACTTTGAAATTAGATTTACTTCCTTGAAGATGGTAGTGGTCATGGGAATGGACTTCAGGAAGCAGCTTGCTTCTTGTGTAAGGAGCATACAGTAGAGCTATGCCATCTTCTGGTCTTTCTTGACCAGTCAGGAAGGTAATGGAAAACACTGCAGTTTCTTCTGTTTTAACAATCGGTGCTTTTGATTTTTGGCTTTTTGAATGTTTAACTTCTCCATATACTAGGAAATTGTATTTATATGTCCGCTAAGGTTTGTTGTGTAAAATAATTGACATATTGATTTAAACAAAGCTCACTGTTAAGTTTTGGATTCAGTGAGATATGCTATGATCATTAGACTTCTTTAATGACGATTTTATGAAAAATTCCATCTTAAGCTCAAGGTCATTCAATGATTTGGCATCATTTCCCTCAATGAAGAACAACAATGGGAATCTAAAAATAAAATGAAGGAAGAATTACAAAGATGTTGCTGAATTCTTATGCATTCAACTTTTATAAAGTTCACCTTGTTTGATAGCAGCCCAGCAAGGTAGAATTCAGTAAATTTCGATAGGACTATCATATACTTTCTGTTACAACATATAGGCCATATATCTCTACAATTTTCTGTTACAACATATAGGCCATATATTTCTATAAGGACTGCAATTTTTTGTTCCATTTTGGTATCCATTTGAATCTATCTCCTTGTTTGGACTGTCATATATTTTCATGTTTTATTAAGCACTGTTTCTGTTACAACATATAGGCCATATATCTCTACAATGTGTGGACTTCCTAGTTGATAAAGTGACAGCAGTTGTTTTCCTTCCGATGAGGAATTCATGGTATTTTGAGTTATTGGATTCCAGGATTCTAATTGTTGCTATATTCATCAAAATTTTTATCATATCATATCAGAAACCATACTATGTAACACAAGAGGCTGTAGCAGTGGAGTTATCAGTATATAATAAACCATATAGTTGGAAATGTGCACAGCTTGATTTATCCATTTTTATTTTATTTATAGTATCATACATAAGCATAATTGTGACTTTGATTGTAGTCTCCTTTCATTGTAAATAAGAACCAATAGGAGCATTCAATATATGTTAGTTCCCTACAAATTTACATTCAATGCTCTATCAAATGGTCAAATACATTTCCTGGATAACAAAACAGGTATTATTTCCTGAATACCAAAACATCTCCTGAATACCAAATGGTCAAAAACGAATCCATCTTTTAAGAAAAAGCCGACAAAAATAACATCAGGACACAAAAAATAAGAGTTCTTCTCTCGGATGCAAAGCAGAGACAACAACTGCTGATAGCTTCGGCTGCAATATCAACGCGCAGACAAACCCACTCGAGATATCAATCAACAAAACATCAAAAAAAAAAAAAAAAAAAAAAACCAACAGGGGTAAAGAACCAAATCGAATCGGAACACTTCGACGAAATGAGAAGAAGAAGAAATCATAATGCTCTGTACTTCGGTGTAAGACAGTGGAAAGCGAAATTACAAAGCTGCGCAGAATTTCTTACAGAGGCGAAAAACCCTAGCATTTCAACAGCCGAAGAAATGGATACCTGCCTCCTAGCTCGCCCCCGCTTCAGCTGTGGGTCTTCAGGTTCTCGCATGGCTTTCGGCAGAGGAGAAACGGAGGTAGGGCAGAGGAGCGACGGCTAGCTTTTGGGTAGGAGCAGTGAGGAAGGAGAAGCATCAGAGTTTCGGTCTCTGTACGCCGCGATACCGCTACTGCCTGCCCAGCTCTAATTGCAACTGTATCGCGAGGGTTCTATCACGAAGGAGAAGGTTTTGAGCGAAACCTGGAGAGGAGGTAGCGATTTAGGCCCGGAGAGAAGATCTTTGGGCGTAACCGGGAGAAGGTGAGAGATGAAGGCGATGGTTTGGCGAGGGTTTCACTCGAGCGAAGCAAGGCGAAGGCACGGGTATTTATTTTAGGGGAAAGAAGAAATTTATTTTTAATAAATATTATTTATTTAAAAAGATTAAATTAGTTAAATTAATCATATTTTTATTTTAATGTCTTAAACTTTATTTTTTGAATTTAATTAAAATAATCATTCATTACAATGATCAATGAAATATTATTAAATTTAAACTATTATGATTTGATTTAGTTTAAGTTATTTTTAGTTGATTCAACCACTAATTAATAAATTATTATTTAAAATATTATTAAAAACCAATTATAATTAAATTAATTTATTCAATTCTAATTTACTTAATTTATTTTTTCATTAATATAAGCTCGAAAAATAATTAGTTTATGATTTATATAAAAAAAAATTATTAATTGATGTTACTTATAATATAAAATTAAAATTAATTATTAAACATCATAATAATGAACCAATTATTGATTTATTATTGAGTAATAAATATTGATCAATCATTAATCTATTTAAAAATATATATTAATGACAAATTAGCTTTGGTAATTAAGGAGTATTGTAATTATAAATAGCAAAATACATATAAACTAAAATTACCCACCCTTAGTAATTATATCATTAATATATAATATTAAATTCATATTTAATCTAACAAACTTAAATCTTGAAACTTGTCAACAAACAATTTCACATAGCTAAATGGGATTTAATATTTCTCACATGAATATTTTTTTAGGATTTAACTCCCTTATAATTTAGTGAATTTAGATTTATAGAGTTTATTAAATTCTACTTTTAAATTAATTCTTACTTGCAATCAAACACTTCATGTGGGGCTAAATATTGGAAGATTTATGTAAGATTTAGCTTAAATATTGTCAAACAATACAAATGACAAGTTTAATCCTAGAGAATTAAATATCATTTCTTCTATTTTCTTAAATATTGTTTCTAATAAATTCGATCACAGAAAGACAGAAAAAAATGCATTTTGTTTGCTTTGCATTTCAGACTGCTACCATAGCTTCGTTTGAAAAAAAATTTTGTGTTGCTTTCTAGAAATTTATATAGTAGGAAGTTTTTTTTAAGCATGACATGTTCAAGTGCGATGGTTGCAACAAAGTCGCAGTATCATTTTTTTTTAAATGATATAAATTCATAATTTCCACAAAAGCTTTATAAAAAGTTGTTTTTTTCACCACAACTTTACAACTACATATTTAAAAAACCCCAGCCATCCCAAATAGACCCTAAGCAGAAGCCAGTGTTGAGGTGAAATTAGGGTCTAAGATGCCTTTACCGACAAGCTCATCGTCGACCACTACCATTATTCTTTGATGCGGGTTTAATGTAGGAGTGTGGACGGGCAAAGGATAAACGGGCTTGTGCAATGTAATTTTTTTTTTTTTTTTATGGAGTGTTGAATATAAATTTTGAATGTACTTTTAAAAATATATATTAATTAATAAAAAAATAAGTAAAAAATAATATTATTTATAGTTTAATTCAATTAACTGATTTTTTTATGTTTCATATAATAATAAATGATTAATTGACATACTATTTTATAAAACCGTAGGCAGGCGAGGAAGGGAGAGATAAAAAAATTACACATCAATGAATCTAAATAGATAAATAGATTAATAAACTATTAATTAAAAATTAATCCGAATATTATCTCATATTAATTATAATTTAATAAAATAAAACATTATAGTGTTATTATTACTATTATTATGAGGGGTATTTACTTACATACCGCACAGTACTTACATAATTACATACTTAATATTTAAATATTATGTATATCGCTGCAATTCCTTACACACATGAAAATATCATGATTTTTTTCATGCATAAGTTTATGAAGTAAAGATGTTACATGTATAAATATCATTGAAGGTTAGATATGTAAATAAATAGAAATTTTGTGGCATGTATGTAAAATTCCGTTACTATTATGTGTAATAAAATATTACTAAGTTAAAATTTATAATATATTCATATCAAAATGAATCCCTAAGTCATATAATTCATTTTAACGTAATTTACATTATCTTCCTAACTACTCCGTACCCCACCATGTGCATGCCGTCCGGTTACTTAACAATTTATTTGTCCAAGCTACCGCCGCTAATAAAAAACAGATTTAGAAATGATATATTACAGAAAATCTGAACACAAACAATGACTGTTTGGCGATGGCGACGATCAGACTGTAGTAGTCTTTAATCGTGTTGATAGTGGTGACGATCAGACCGTAGTAGTCTCTAATCGTGTTGATAGTGGTGGTTATGATCTGATCGTAGTAGTCTCTAATCGTGTTGATAGTGGTGGTTAGGTAATAGTGGTCTGGCAGCTACAAATAATCAGACGATGACAATGATCATGAGGTGGGTCCGGCGGCAATGATTGTGGTGGCCAGGCAACGATGATCCGTCCGATATTGGTCAGGTGGCGATGACAAAAGTGGTAGGGCAACGGTTGGCAGGTAAGGGTAGTGGGCTGATGATGACGGTCAGATGGTTGCAACTTGATAACAATGATGGTGGTGGTAGTCATGTAATGGTGGTTTGGTGACCACGGGGGCCAAAATTCAGTGGTTAGGTTGGGGTGATGGTGACAACTTGACATCGGTGGTCCGACCGCAACAACTGGATAATCGTGGTTAAGAGGAGTCGACGGTGATCAATTGAACTATGGCGATGACTTGATGGCGATGGTTCAGCTGCAGTGATATGATGATCAGGTAATGGTGGTTTGGCGGTGGCGATGATCAGATAATCATGGTTCGGTGTGGCGACGATGATAACAAAAGTGATCGGGCAAAGGTGATCCAACAACAATGGCAACCAAAACGATTGTATTTAGCGGTGACGGCCAAATGACTGTGGTTAGGCGACGACAATTGTGGTGGTCGACGATGGTGACAAACCTATGGTGATGGTTATCGCTGAGATGGTGGTGGTCGAGCAATAATGGTGTGACGATGATGGTGGCTTGACTGCGGTGGTTTGGTGGCGAGGACTGTGCTATACAGGCAACAATGGTATGGCAATGACAACGATTAGATGACGATGGTCTCGTGGTGGTGATTATGGTAGTCCGAAAACGTTGGTCCTTTAATGATAGCAGTGCGACTACAGTGATCCTACAATGACAACGACCCAATGATGGTGGTCCGACGGTGACTACAGCGGACAACTGTGGTTTAATGATAACTGCAACTCGACAATAGCGATCAAATGACGATGATGGTGATGGTCGAGCAGTGGTTGTCCAATGCCAACAGTGGCTAGTATACGCAATGGTCCAACAACGATGGAGCACGGGAACCCTCAATAGCATAGAGCTTCTTCAACCTTCTTCTCCAAGTCTAGGGCTCCCTAAAGAAGAGAGCAAGGGTCTATTTTAAAATTTTAACAATGACACTCTCTGTAAATAATACATGAATCGAGACTCTTTTCCATTGAACAATCCAAAGTGATTTTTAGGCTTGTTGAATTCGTCTCGTCAAGAAGCTTCATATGACTACAATGTTGCCCAAAATATATTTTAAAATTTATTTTTTATGCCTCTTCTTAAATAAATGTGCATCAAGATTTATGTTAATTAATATGATTTTTTAGGAATGCATTAATAATACTCACACACATACATGTAAGTTAATAAAAAAGAAAATTTAAATTTTCAGAAATAAAGACAAATTATGATGCATAGTATTATTGTCTACATTGTTTTATTTTCTTACTTTCCATACTTTAATTTGATAATTAAGAATCTGATACAATTTATTCCAAAATAAAAATTATTGCAGCCAAATCATAAACTGGAGGTTACTTGAATGAAATCCGCTAAGCTGACATGGCTCGAATAGATTGAGTTTAGATTGAAATCGGCTCATAGCTCTTTCTATTCAATATAGAGCCAATTTTGCTCGAAATTGAATCAAGGATGATCCTGCTCGAAATTGAATCGAGGTCGAATTGAAATTAGTTGGCTCAAATTTGAGTTCTTTGGATCAATTCCAGCTCCAAATCACATCGATCCAACTCAAAATCAAAACAAGATGGTTCAAACCGAGTCATGAATCCATTCCAGCTCAAAATTGTCTTGTATCTTCTTATATTCGATTTTATTTAGCGTTTTATATAATTTTTATAATTTTTTTTTTTTGTAGCCTCACAAGTCAATTCGAGTTGATTCATATATGATTTGAAATCCGCTCGAAAAAAATTCGAGCTCAAAATTTAGCTTATAGCTCGACTTGTTTACTCGGATTTAATCCCTCTCTAATCTAAATTCCAAATTAATTTTTCACTATTTACACAATAGCACCCATAACCTCTTTGATTTTTTAAATTACATAACCAATGCATCCACATGTGACCCCACATTGAGGTGGGTTTCGTAATATTGAATTTTGATATTTTGAGTGAGAATTTTTAAAATAAATAAAAGAGGGGGGTAGTTTTGAAAATCAGTTATGTTTTTAATGCTAATTTATGTTTCTTTATTTTAATATTAAAAAAAAAAAAAAAAAAAAAAAAAAAAACAAAACCAAAAACAAAATTTCAGCAGTCGGTGGAGGGAGAATCGTTGAGGCCAGCTTGCATATGAACTGTCACCGAATGACTTCACGTGCTATACGCCATTTTATTTGCTTCAAGAAATAATAATAAATTCCGGCCCCCTCATAAATCTCTTGGAAAAAATTGCAGGCATACCGCATAAATTTCATGTATTTATATATCTACCATTTAAAATTTTATGTTTTTACTTATTACACCTAATAATCTCTATACTTCACTTAAGAAAATATAAAAAAATACTTTATAAAGTACTTTATAAAGTAAGATTTATGAAAATTTAGTGAGGTTGAATTAGAGATTGTGATATAGTTTTGCATACTATTGTAAAATTCTTTGATAATATTAGAAAAAAATACTTTATAAAGTAAGATTTATGCAAATTTAGTGAGGTTGAATTAGAGATCGTGATATAGTTTTGCGTACTATTGTAAAATTCTTTGATAATATTAGAAAAAAAATTCGCCCTAAAGGTTTCGGGCGATACCATATACAAATTTAACTCTGAATAGGGGTAATTCTAGACTCGGGTCATTTGCCGCCAGTCTTGAGTTGTTTGTTCATAAGGCTTAATCATGATCGTGTGGTATCAAGTGTCAACCCCTTGACAAGTCCATTGTAGTGATACATCGAATGTTCTGATAAGTGTGATTGACGTAATTCTCCATGCTTTGGTTGTAGTCACACGATTCTGATGGTTCGCTCGACCCTAAATCAATCGCCCTTAGATGTTGGCAGCCCACATCGCTTCTTTGGTTTTTCAAAACACGAATGTCATCCTGTGTCTGTTTGAAGAAACAATATTCTATACCGACGTCCATACGTCCAGATGGCCGACTATCATCGGCGACATCGCCAATGACACGTGTGACGATGTGGCCATCGATGACTGACAGTCTGAACGTGAACGTATGACATCTCGTGCTTGAGAGATCTCTGAACCACATAATCTTCCTCTTACTCATCTACACAAACTAATGTGCCTACACATTCCTACACATTAACTTATTTATGTCCAGTCAATTCAATCTACATAGAGCAATATTAAAATCATTATAAAAATTATAACAAAACAAAAATATAAAAAATAAAATTATAGTAATGTATTTTATCCCATGAAAATAAAAATATATTAAAAAAATAAAAAAATCATGCAATAATGTGTATTATGAGACCAAGTAGGCATGTGCTCCTCCCGCCTTTATTCTTCTCCCCACTTTCCACGCTAATTTAATAAATAAGCTTGCTAAATAATCCACAGATCCCCATCAGCTTCCCCCACCGGTCCACCTATGATCCCTAGACCAGCACAGTTTATTCGCACACCCCTTCGTACCCACCATCCCAAAATCGCAGCTTCATTTTCCTCCGAACAACACGTAGCTTCTTTAAAGAACGGGTGTAATTATCAAAACTATCCTCCGCGAAACTTCACACCGTCGAAGCTAGAAGTACCTCAGTGCAGAGAGAGAGAGAGAGAGCGGCGAGAGAGGGAGAGAGAATGGTACACGCGAAGACGGACTCAGAGGTGACGAGCATCGCGCCATCGTCGCCGACAAGATCGCCGCGCCGGCCGGTGTACTACGTGCAGAGCCCTTCCCGCGACTCCCACGATGGCGAGAAGACGACGGTTTCGTTCCACTCAACTCCGGTGCTCAGCCCAACCGCTTCTCCTCCGCACTCCCATTCCTCCGTCGGGCACCACTCCCGCGAATCCTCCTCCACCCGCTTCTCCGGCTCTCTCAAACCCGGAGCCTCCCGCAAAGTCACCCCCGACGGCGCCGCCGTCGCCGGCCGCCATAAATCCGATAAACCCTGGAAGGACAGCGATGTCATTGAAGAAGAAGGTCTACTCGATGACGACGAAGATCGTCCTCACGGCGTCATTCCTCGTCGCTGCTATTGCCCCCTCTTCGTCCTCGCCTTCGCCCTTCTTTTCTCCTTCTTTGCCCTGATCCTCTGGGGAGCCAGCCATTCCCAACGCCCCGAGGTTTCCATGAAGGTAATTCTACTGTTATTTTCTTCTCCCCGTTCTCCCTTTCAATCAACGATCGATCGCTCATTGTTTGTAGCTGAAAATGTCGCACAGAGCATAACGTTCGAGAATTTCATGATTTCGGCTGGAACGGACGCGTCGCTGGTGCCGACCAATTTGGCGACTCTGAATTCAACCGTGAAGATGAGCTTTCGAAATACCGGGACATTTTTCGGCGTTCATGTAACTTCAACCCCTCTCGATCTATCTTATTACGAGCTCTCGCTCGCCATCGGAACAGTAAGCTTTCAAGATCCAAATCTTGTTTAGTTTCTCAGTTAGCTTACGAATCGATATTGATCGAATTTGGCGGCCAGGTTAAGGAATTCTATCAATCGAGGAAGAGTATGAGGAACCTAAATGTAGTGGTTTCTGGCAACAAGATTCCTCTATACGGCGGATCTGCGAGTCTCAGCGCGCCAGCGGCCGGAAATAATGTAGCGGCGACGGCATCGGCGGCGGC